CACTGATGAGGAACCTGCATGCAGCCATGCAGACAGTCACTGATGAGAAATGCTAGTCGCAAGTGGAAAGGACTGCCAATCATCCCGTCATGCTCTAACCATGAGCTTCGTGGCGGGGTTATTGAAAGATGATTCTTCTCAAAGAATTTGGGCACAGTAGTTGCACTTTAGGCATTCTTACTACAGTGTGAATATAATGTTTGCTAGTTTTCACAATTAAGTTAAAGTCTCTTTACATTAGTATAGAATCTCATGAAAGGAATAAAGGAAGGAAGGAAGGAAGGAAGGAAGGAAGGAAGGAAGGAAGGAAGGAAGAAGAAAAGAATTCATGAGAAATGTGGGCCTGTGTTCAGATGCTATTGGATTTGAATTTTCTTGTTTTACATAGCAGCAGCAATCCCCTTTACATGTAGAAAGTGAATGTTCCAGAGACAAAAGCTGGGCCATTTGCCCACTGACTTTCTGATCCTGAGGATCTCCAGGAGCACTGCTCTCCGAGGCTGTGTCTTCCCTGCTCCTGTGATGTGTGCTCCAGGGATGGATGTGTTCCTGAAGTGGCGTGAAGACAACGCCAGGCCTCACCTGGTTCCGGTTAACCAGCGCTTTTGTATAACTGTAGCTGCCACTTCTGGGTGTGAGGCAGCGAGAGGGGCATCTTTGAGGGTCCCAGGTTACCCACGTTAGCCAGCAACCCAAGAGGACTTCCATTAAGCCTGGTCCTTCCTGGAGTACCCAGTTACAAACTGGGAAAAATGCCAGGCCAGACCTGCTGCTGTATCAAGTTTCACCTGCCATTTCCTTTATCAATGTTTTTTTTTTCTATTTATTTTATATGAATGTAGAACACAGAAATGTTTGACTAGCTGGCGTTTCTGTTTAGTAATCCATTACACACACACACACACACACTGATGGAATGTATTCAGATTGTGTGAGCAGGTCTACATAGGTCAGAATAAATTTTATTTGGAGAACACTTACACAATTACATTTGTATCGTTTAGGTCACTCAATTTCAGTCATTTTGTAGAAAGGGCATTGGTCATTCTGCAGATAGCAACTGCTGCCTAACGCCCATGCCTGATCCCAGGCTTCCCGGCTAAGAGCGCTTAGCCATTAATTGCACGGTACACCCAAACCACCCTCACCTTAGATGGCTACAGGGTTTGGGGGACGGGACTGAGAATGTAGCCTGGGTTGAAACCAATGACTTATTCCTGTGCTTAATCACCTGATAACTTGGGGAAGAAGATGTTGAAGCCATCAGTGCCTTTATGCTTCTAAGAAATTGGCAGACACTAGCAAAGGGAAAGCTGCATGGGCTCTCTCAGGGTCCTGAAAGAAGCATTGAACTTTCGGGTCCTTTTAAAAAATGTTCTAGAGTGAATGTACATTTCCAGTGTAATAATAAAAGAAATTGTCTCAGTTACTGATACTAGATTGTAATCGACTACATCTGTCACTTGAGACTTTCTTTTTTCATGGCTATGTCTTAGCTTTGAAATTCCAGAGGACAATTGGGCATTGACTGCTCCCCTGACCCTGACACTGTGTTAAAGTCTCTGAATGCCCAGAGCCTCGGCTGGGTTGACCTTCCTGGTGCAAATAGTTCAATTCTGTTTGTAAAATGGGATTTCCCTTTCTTAATTATTCCTTAATCCTACTTCTGTTACTGCTGCTGCGATAAAAATACCCCGATGCAAAGCATCGGGAAGGCGCTAGGTCACAGGTCTAGGTTACAGCCCATCTCCTCAGGGAAGTCAAGGCAGAAGCCTGAAGCCATAGTCATATGGCGGCCAAATGAGTGGAGAGAGAAGGCGCGTGTGCATGCTGGCGCTCAGCAATCTTTATCTCCTCTTACACAGCCCAGGGACATGGGGATGGTGCCTGCACATTCAGTCTGGCTCCTCCTGTACCAGTGAAGGCAGTCAAGACAATCTTCCATGGGCCTGTGGACAGGCCCATCTCACCTGGGCCACCCCTCACTAATAGTCCCTTCTCCAGTGATTCTAGTTCACTTCAGGCTTGAAACTGACTGCCCCAGACCCCTAACTGCACAATTTACATGTTTGCTCATGTAACCTCTGTAACCCGACATGCCCTCGAGGCTCAAAGTGCAGTGGTGTGGACGGGGTTGGTCTCTGAACTGTTTGCTGTCTACCCACACGGACCCTCGCAGAGCTAGCAAAGAACAACAAAAACAACCTTTGAGTGAGTGTTTCCATTTCTGTTAAACTGTAAAGGATTGGGATTACGTTTCCTGGCATCCCCTCCTGAGAACTGAGTGTTATTGTATTTCAGAAATTGTTTGGTGGTTATGACCTTACGCCCTCTTTAAAGGTGGGTTATAATAATAAACAAGTCAGGGCTATAAGGGAGCCATTCGTTTACATCTTTAAGCCAAGCCGTATGCTTAGATCACACACACACATACATGATCTAGGATTGAGGAACTCCCCCAGGAAAGGGCAAGGCCCATGGTTTCTTCTTGGCACCTCTTGCCCAGACAGAAAAATAATGGCTTCTCTCCACTGTTGTTTCCAGGCCTGAAAGGAAACAGGGCACTAAGAGGCTTTCACCTGAAGACGTGGAGTCCATGCGAGACATTCTGACAAGAAACATGTACCAAGTCCGACAAAGAGTATGTGTGAGCCCTGCCCTGCCTTGCCCTGCCCTGCCTTGCCCTGCCCTGCCTTGCCCTGCTCTGCCTTGCTCTGCCCCTACCTGCCTTATTCACACTGTCCTCCTGAAGCAGTATTTCTCCTGGGTTTGGAGAACAGAAAGCCAATCATCAGCTTCAAGGTTGCTACCAGTGGCCTAAGATAAATGCAAATCCAGTTGCTGGCTCTAGGGGTCAGGCTGCCCCAGCCCTGCAGCCAAAGCTTTCAGAACACACAGGTCTCCCTGTCCTGAAAGGGAAGAGACTCAGCCATCCTCTTGTAGTGTAAGAAAAAGATGGCCGGGATTCCGATGGCCACCCAGCCGTCCAGTGGGGTCACCTATGCTAAATGTTACCAAATAGCACATACTGGGTCAGAATTATGACACCAAAATAGAAAGCTGGTCTATAAAGTACAGTGTTTTGGTCTGGAAATTGGTGTGGACTCTTTCAGTCTTTAGCAAAGGGCCTTTCAGAGACACCAAGTTCGTGATAGTTAACTCGATGTCACCCCTGCAGAAACTATTTCAAGTTTGATGACGGGTATGTCCATCCTTTTTCATGGGTGTGATTAAGTATGACTCTTGTGAGGGTTTTATTCCTTGGAAATGCCCTAGGAAACCACCTAAGCTGCTCATGTTCAAGTAGAAGATGCTGAGGTTAGCAAACTTGGTGATTGTGTTTGTTCAAGGTTGTAAAATAAATGTAAGTTAAGAGTTCTCTGCTGAGCACTGACCCAGCATTCTTTCCAAGACTCCAGACTTAGACAGCCAATGTCCCTGCAGTTCTGTGTAAGAAAACTTGACGACTAAGAAGGCTGAACGGTACAGGTCAGCTCTGTGACACTGTTCTTAGGGTGAATCCCATGGCTTGTGAACCATTCCAGGTGAAACTGTTCCAGCAGCTATCACATTTCACCTTCGCTAAGTAGATAAGAACTTCCTGGTGTGGACACCGGCTGGCTTAGTGAAAGCCCGGTCCAGGGAGTACCTGGAACTCCATGTTTTCCCATCTTAATGACACAGGGAAGGAGGCTGGAGTTCTCAGACTCCAAGACATTCTGAAATGGTCTGTTACCCACATTCTCTTTCATTCCTCAGATGTAAAGGAAAAACACGTTTGTGGTTAGGGTTTTTGTTGTTGTTTTTTGCTTTGGTTTTGTTTTTTTGCCAGCTTGACACAGACTAGATACATCTGGAGAGAAGAAAGCTTAGTCAAGGGATTGCTTTTACTATTTTGCCTGTAATCAAATCTCGGGGGTGGGGGCTTTTCTTGGTTAATGATTGATGTGGAAGAGCCAGATAGGCACTTTTGTCTTTGGTCTGGTGTTCAGCACTCTCTCTTCTAAGCTTTGCAGCGTCTTCTGTCTTTCCTTGTTTTTCCAAATTTGAGTAAATTGGCCATTTTCATTAACGGGTCCATTGCTAAGCATCGAGTGGAATCAAGTCAGAGTAGGATTGGTGAGCTGGGTGCAGTGATTGGCTACAGGTAACTTTTGCCTCCACCTTTAGTCTTGGAAATGGAACTAACCAATCCTCTTCCCGGTTCTTCTAAATTGATAAGCACCATTCATCAAAAGCAGCTTGGGAGCAAAGGGTTTATTTGGCTTGCACTTCCCATCTTTAAGGGAAGTCAGAGCAGGGACTCAAACAGGAGCAGAGGCAGGAGCCACGGAGGATTGCTACTTCCTGGACCACTCCCCTGGCTTCCTCAGTTTACTTTCTTATACACCCAGGACTACCTGTGCAGGAATGACATGACACACCACGGCTTGGCTCTCCCACTCAACTATTAATCAAGAAAGTGCCCGGAAGTGGTGGTTTCAGGCAGTGTGATGGAGACAGTGCGCCATCCACATTGCCCGCTTTCCAGACGTCTCCATTCTTGTGCCACGCTGACAACCCCACCCCACAAACCCTAACAACACGCCTGTCTTCCCACCACCTCTAGCACTCCTAGGGCTAGGAGAGTCTTCCATTCTTTCAAAGGAAAATCTCCCGAAAACGTTGAGTAATTGAATATCCACTGCTTATCACAGACAGCCTACAGTTTGAAGGAGTGACACAGATTGTAGAAGCCATCTATGTCCACATGTCTGGATGATGGGTACAGGAGTGATGGCTGGAGGCGTTTATCACTGTGTGTGTTTTAGAAGAGTCTCTCTTGGGGCTCAGCGGTCACCTCTGGGCAGGGCCAGCCAGAATGTAGGGTCTGATTCTGGGCAACCTGAAGTTACCGTTGCTATGCAATTGCGCTGGTCCCACTCACTCTCTGGGCACATATCTTTGAAGTATGTCCTCTTAGCATGTCCAGTATAAATATGCATGGGTGGAGAAAACGAAGGACTAACTTCTGGAGATTCTCAGTGGCACAGCTGTAAAGAAAACTCCCGGCAACACAGTGGGATAGAGACAGAGGCACACACCAAACATCAAATAAACCTCAGTGCAGGCTCTAAGGCAGCAGTTTCCAAAACCACCCTTTAGAACAGTTCCTCATGTTTTGGTGATGCTCAACCATAAAATTATTTTTATTGCTACTTCATAACTATAATTTCGCCATTGCTATGAACCAGGATATAAATACATGATATGCAGGATATCTGATATGCAACCTCTGTGAAAGGGTCATTTGACCTCCAGAGGGGTCATGACCCGAAGGTTGAGAACCACTGCTTAGAGGCGAGGTCAGAGACTGCTACAAAGCCCCTGACACTCTCAACGTTCCTACACACCTTCAAAGGAAGGGGAACAATATATCCAGATCCTGTTCTGGATAGCTAATGGCTTATATCCATCCAGCACCTGCTGGGTTCAGGAACATTGTGCCTCCTTGTTTCTCCAGCAGAACTCAAGGTTTAGGGGGAAGAAACAGGCTTTAGCTGTGCAGTGGTCCCCGCTCTAAAGGACAGAGGAGAAAGAAGAGGGAGGCCAACAGCACACTATGTGCAGAAGCTCTCTTCAGGGGCCGAGTCGACACTGACAGTAGCTTCTCAGGCAAATCAGGAGCCTGGACGTCCAGTCATCACTTGAAGTACTGCACCCTGAGCTGGGGCTAGACAAACATTGACGTACTTAGGTTAGAGTCACCTTTAAAGAAGATGGACAGAAAACTTACTGAAAACTGTATTCACACATTTTTCCTTTGTTTTTGTTTTTCCTGAAAATTATCAGAGCCTGGACTCATCAAAACAGTGGATAAGGAGCTGCTCGGAGGCTCTGAGCCAATGGCTTCCTCATTCCTCCTTTGGCCTAAAGAGCTTCTGCTTGTCTTAGGGAGCTTGATTTCATTAACAGGTGATGAAAACTACCTATCTGTGACCTGGATACTCAGCAGAACACAATAAACTGAAAGCAAATGGAACACACGAAGTCACAGTTGCCTTGGCTCTCTGTCAGGAACACCGTCTCCATCCAGGCTGGAACCTGCCCATCTCACCATGTACAGGAAAACCCAATTTCTTTTGTATCGTTTGATAAGACACAGTAGGATGGAAGGACGTGTTTCCATTTTAACTTCTGATCGCTGGGGATCATCTCACGGCGCATGAGAGTATGTTTCCCCAACAGACAGGGGCGGGGGCGCTGGAAGACAGGGTCTTCATTTCTAGATCTTTTTCTGTGGTCCCACCTACATTCCCTTACAGGTGGTTAGCATTTCCTGCCCTGGTTCTCATGCTCCTTCCATCTGGGACAGAACCCACTTAGAGCTGCAGTAAGCCTGCCGAGTCCACACCTGAGCACTCCACACCATCCCTCCCAGATGGTCCTGATGGTTTGTCTCATCCGAGTGTACAAGCCAAAGTCCATGTCTGCTTGACTCCCCTGGGGGGCCGTAAGCCTTCGGAAGACCTGAACTTACAAGTGTTCATTTCTAATCCCATGCTTGTTAGAGCACCCAATCGAACGTCCACTTTTTGTTATTGAATCGATTAACATTTCAAAGAAGCCGTGGAGCAGGAAGGATGGCTCAGGCAGCAGCGACCTTCTCATCCAACAGAGCTTGCACGGTGTTTCACCTCCAAACTCCAGGAAACCAGACACAGCCAGCTTTGGCAGGGACAAGAAGCTCCACTTAGTTACACATGTGCTTACAGACAGAAGCCTGTGGTCCATGACAGCTTTCCCCTGGCTTGAGGTCAAGGCAAGGAGAGTGATTCAGAGCTCAGGAGATCCAGATTCTTAGGCTGTTCCTTCCTTGCTCTGCTCCTTCCCTGACTGACCTCCCCAGGAAGCGTCTGCCTTGCCAAATTGATGAGAATCATGACAGGAACAGCTCAACTCTCTCTCTCTCTCTCTCTCTCTCTCTCTCTCTGTGTGTGTGTGTGTGTGTGTGTGTGTGTGTGTGTGTGTGTGTTGAGGGAAATGCCTTTAACTGAATAGCCGACACATTGTGGAAATTCCAAAATCAGTTTTAATGTTTTTCCTATTATATCTGAAGGCCTAGCGTGTAAATAGGACCTGAGAAAGAGTGAGTGAGTGTGCGTGCATGCGTGTGTGTGTGTGTGTGTGTGTGCATGTGCAGGCAGCCACACTCTGTGGCACCTCCTGTGGGATGAGGTTGGAGGGTGTGAAGGGCAGGGGGGGGGGTGTTGCTTCACCAGCCACAGGCACAGCCAGGCCTGAGAGTCCTGAGCGGCTTGCAGGCTTTCCTTCCGCCGACGTTGACTCCATCTTGCCAATGCAAAGCTGAGCCTGGCTGTGTGTGTACCACTCTAGCAGTCTCTAGATGCTTGCGGGGTTGGAGGTATCCATGGGATTATTGCCTGTCTATATTATGCTCTTCCTACAGACCCTGTCCTACAACAAATACAGCCTCAAACCCCAAACAAGCGAGAAGCAGGCCAAAGAGATTCTGATCCGGCGCCAGAACACCCTGAGGGAGAGCCTGCGGAAAGGCCAGAGCCTGCCCTGGGGAAAGCCGGTATGTGGGGGCTGAACCCAAATAACTGGGCCTCAGGCAGAGCCTCACCATCTGAGGGCAAAGCACTGTTAAAACGTCCTACTTACTCAGGCCTCACTTGAGCTAGAGGGTGCAGAGGCCATCTGTTAGTATGCAGAGGGCGACATACTAAGGCATGCGCCCACCCCCACCTCCCATCAGGGCCTCAGGCCTCAGGCACTGTGATGAAGCATGGTGGTGAGAGGCGTCCCATGGTAGATTGGTGACTTCAAGCAGCCCCTGAGGTGACGCTGCACCCAGAACCCACAGTGGCTGAGTGTGAACCTGCTGGGACTCCTCAGAGCAAACTTCTTCGCTCTCTGGACTCCGCCAGAAGTGTCTGCCCCTGAGGCTCCCAAGTCTCTCCACGTCACCCGACGAAGCGGTGGCTGAGGCTATGCTCATCATGTGGGTGCTCCCGATGGACACTGGATCTAGAACAGCCCAGATGTTGGTCCAGAGTGGGGCTGTGAGAGTGACTCGGAAGGCTGACAAGGGTCCTGTCAATGTGAGAGAGATGTAGACAGAGACAATGACAGACACAGACACACATACACACAGAATGCATATAGAGGTGGGAATGGTTTTGCTTCCTTTAGACAGAAGGAATTAAATACTGTAACCCTAGAGAATTGCCCAGCTCAGGACTGTGTCCTTCCTTTTATTGTCCCTGTGCCAACTGAAACTGCACTAGTTTTGTTTTGTTTTGTTTTGTTTTTCCTCTTGTTTCTTCTTGTTCCCCACAGGCAGGCACCAAGAACTTTCGCTACCTCTCCTTCCCCTACAGCAATCCTCAGTCAGCAAGGAGAGAGGGATGGGCAGCTGAATCCACAGGTAACCCACGCCCCTCTGCCATGTCTCCTCCTGAGCAGGCTCAGGTGAGAAAGATTTGGGCACGTGGGGGCCAGGAGAAACAATCAAGACAATTGAACGAGAACAAAATGAAGACATCCTTTATGAAATAAACATCAGAATTGTATTTCTGGGCACAGGAATGTAGGTTTATTATAATGTTGCCATGCACTATTGTCCTGTTTTAATCTTCTTGGGCATTTGGAGCATAGGGATGATGAGTAGGTCTCATGATTTAACCATTTCGATTTCTTCACTGGCGCCTTAACGATATGCATGTAAAGGCTCAGTTCAGGACAGCTGCACAGTGCAGTGCAGTTTCAATATGAGGTAACTTACTTTTATTGGAGTGATTTAGTGATTTCTCATCTAGCACGTGAGTGAGATTCTTACGCATTGAAAATGCTCATTATTCTAATAATAGCCAATTTACTGTGTTCTAAATATGTATCAAAATGATTTCTATTAGAAAAGGGTAACATAGAATAATCATATGTCATGCTATTTTTTAATTTTATATTATTTAAACCTTAAAATCACTTTAAGTATTCAAATAAACTAAAGGCATAGGACCTTAAATAATTATTTGTTAAAGGCTATATATTAATTAGTCTTTGTAATAAGGGTTTTTTTGTTTGTTTGTTTGTTTTGTTTTTCTTGTGAGAACGGGCTTCATATAAAACACCATCCATCCCTGGAGTGAAAGCTCATGAAGGGAATTAAACAGACCAGGCTAAGAGCGGATGCGGTCACCACAGAGCCTTTCAGTTAGCCTCCATCTGCACTTCTCTCCGCACCATCCTGACCTTCATGGGGTCAATACCTTATACAAAACATCACCCGAACCAAGCACCGGCCTGTGCAAAAGTCAAGCATGAGGGGTTGACTCCCCATCCCCAAATTTTCCAGTTCACTTGACGGTGTCCTAGAGAAGACAGATTTCTCACCTCAACAGACAGGAATTTAGTTCTCATGTTTAGTGATAAAATACTAGCCAAAATAATTTATTTACTTTCAACCCATCTTGAGCTTTTCCTTGGCTATGAAATAAGTCGATAGACCCTTGAGATTGCCTGTCTTCCCTCCCAACACCGTCTTCTCTTGTAAAACGAAATGCCAGCTTTTTACTCAATTTCCTCCTTCTGAAGCCTGCTTTGCACTAGTAATTTTGTTTCATTAATCTTTTTTTAAACAGGATTCTTTTTTAAACATTTTTTACTTACTTAATTTTATGTGCATTAGTGTGAAGGTGTCAGATCCCTTGGAATTGGCATTACAGACAGTTGTGAGCTGCCATGTGGGTGCTGTGAATTGAACCCTGGTGCTTTGGAAGAGCAGGCAGTGCTCTTAACCACTGAGCCATCTCTCCAGCTCCCTGTTTCATTAATCTTGATGTCTGTTCCTGATGACACTCCAGTAATTAGTATCATTTGCTATTGTGAAGGAGCAAAATAAAGGAAATTGGAAAGAGAGACACAAACGTGGGACATGAAAACAATTGGCTTTAAACTATTTTTCTTATTCTAGTAACACAACACCAATCTTGCCACTTAGGTGACTAGGGAACAAGAGGGAGCCACATCTATCTTCTGGAATAGCCACCAGTATTGCAGGGTCCTGACACAGGGGTGACAGCCAAGCAGGTGCTTGGGGCAGGCGTGCACAGATGTAAATAAGCAGACGGCCAAGCGGCCACACTTTTAGAACTCTCCTTTACTCCAAAAATGTACGTGTTCACCACATTTCACTGGTGAAAGGAAAGACGATGAAGTGGCATGAAACATGGAAAGCGACTGTCACAGAGGCAGATGCAGGGTAGTCGGCCCACGAGGGCATGTTCTCGGCCTCACTGTGTCAGCGCAGTACCTCTGCCCTCTGCTCAGCATCTCCTTCACTGGCAGGGGCATCTGCCACAGCCAGCGCCCTCTGCGGCTCCCGGCCCCTCCCATCTGTGTTTCCCCAAGGTCAAAGCAGAGAAAGTCAGACGTGAAGCTTTAGATAGCGACCAGGTAGGCACCAAACCAAGGTTATGTGTGGCTCACACCTGTAATCTCACTCTGGAAGCTGACACAGAGGGTTACTATAGTCCAAGGCCGCCCTGTGTGATGGGAAGGTACCTTGTCTCAACAGAACAGAAACAGGGTAAGAACCAACCGCTTGGACAACCTTTCGAGAAGCAGTTCCCTGTTAGAAGGCAGAACATTTTTGTCACTTTACACTGTTTCTAATCCCTACCTGTGAAAAGATACCCTGCCGTTCATCCAGGGAAGCCTGGCTAAATGCGCAGGTTCCCACGTACCCCACCCATCTGTGCCCTCCGGGGCCGCGGGGGCCAAGTCAAGCTGACATAAAGCCTCGGTGCAGTCTAGAGCACAAAGGCCATCTGGGCATGAAGTCTTCCCTCTGATTTCAAGTGTTTCTCTCCATTCTTGTCATGATGTCTTTTCAGATGAGGAGGGCGTTGAGGCGGGATCCCGGCCCTTGATGTTCAGTGCGCAGGCCCGAGCAGGGTCCCTTCAGGAAAATCGACAGTTGCAGGCAGCGGTCCTGATGAAGAGGCTGCCGGGAGGACAGAAGGCACATAGCTTCAGCCCCCGAAGCAGCTGGGAGGAGCAAGCTGGATGGCGCCGGACAGACACCATCCGGCCCAGGCCGCTGTTCCATGCCGTAGATGAGGAGTACGAGTCCGGAGAGCAGACGGAGGACGAGACCTCAGCAGTGGGCTCCGGATGGACAGCCGAACACACACATGGCAGAGAGCACTACAAATCCCACAGCCCTTTGCTCCACAGAAAATAATTCACCGTTCTCACCGGCTACTGGGTCGGTCCGGAGTCCCACTTCCTGTTTCCTAAAGCAAAAATTCTCATAGTTGAGAACAGAGTTATCGAGTTAGCATGCTTTACAGGTTTGGACACCTATCTGTACAAGCAGGTTGACGTCACAGCGAAGGCCGAGCCATGCTCTTGTCTTGTGCCTTTGTAGATGGAGCTGTGTGTGACAGAGCCTCACTCCTCCTCAGAATGGCCAACCACCTCAAAGGATAACAGGGGTCCATCAGGCTCCTCTAGTTTTCTCCCAGACGTCAAGCAGGTGCTGGGATTTAGAGACAGGCAATGACGGAAGCCTTTAGAAAAACTCACGGCTGGAAAAAGAACCAAAGAACAAAGAATTAGTCATTTAGAATTCACAGGAATTTGTGAATTCACATAGAACCTGATTAGGTCACCTGTCCAGAACCACACGTGGTTGGTCAGTGGTTCCTACCCGCTCTGTGTGTAGGCGATTCATAATCAGTTAGCATGGCAGGAGTCTTTGAAAGCATCCAGCTCTGCCCCTTGTGCTGGAGACACCTTGAAAAGGTCTTAGGGAATGTTGGCCATCATGAAAATTGAATGCATTTGGCTTCAGATTTTTTAAATGAACTTTCTTTCCAAAGATACAATAACGTACCTCAAAAGAGAGGTGAAATTTGTTGCAACGTTGTTATGTTTAATCAGTGACACTGATAGATGTGATCTGCACTGTAGGGGTTAATCTTTGAACAATGAGTTTATACACTATTTTTTTAACTAGAGTGTTAATTTAAAATAAATTTTAGAAGTGTGAGAGCCACAGTTTAATAGCAATGAGATGAATAATAGTATATATCTGCTGTGTGTTTGTAGTTTGGGGAGTTTTGCTCTGGAGTTTAGTAAGTATTCTTTAGTTGACTGTTCCATTGGGATTATTCCAACCCTGACCTTGAACTTTACGCACTTGCCAATTTTGTCAGCCAACTCTCTATCTCTCCTCCTTCCTTATGCTTTGTCTCCCTTCTGTCTGGGCATCTACAAGTGAATAAGCAGTCCTGAGACGCTGACGCTGTGCCGGACAACTAGAGCTATGGCCGTCCATTCAGTAGACGTCCTTTCGCCCTTTACCGCTTTGCGTATCTTCACCCGTGTGCTTCAGTCAAGCACAGCTTCCTAGGCCACCATCAAGCTCCCCGTTAGGACCCTCCTTGGCTCTCTTAAGCTCTAGGAGCCCTGTGCTCCTTCAGGTGGGGCCTTGTCCTTTGCGCACATGTGTTTAGTCCTGTGACCCAAAGCAAAGGATAGTTTGATCATTTGACCTTTGGCCAACTTAACGGTTGTGACTTTTCTCTCATCTTTTTTATTGTTCTTGTGTGATTTTTCCTATTTTCTTTCATCTGTGGTCACGTGTCTTCTACAGGGAAGAATGCGCACAAATGTTGACAGAAGACAACATTTTTGAGCTGGAAGGGACATTAGAGTAGGTGCTGTCATCAGACATTATTACTTTCTAGGTGTCAAGAAATAATGTCCTGAAGTAGGACCCGGAGCCACCACAGGGCCCCATCACTGAAGCTTTACTGATGCTTTCCATCAGCAGGAGGACTTGTCCTATGGCATGACCTATGGATACCAGCGATGACCATGTGACTTTGCTCCAGACCACCCACACTGCAGGAGTAATTTTCACCCAGGTTCCTGTGGTAGGAGCACAAATAAAAATCAAAGAACCCCATTGTTCTTCAGAATCTGAAATGGAATGTTTTCTAAGTCATACAATATCTTTTTTTAAAATAAAAACCATGACTTGTCAAGTGAGCATAATAAGCTCCGAGGGAGGAGACTTACATAAACTCGGGGAAGCAGCGATCAAAGAGGAACAGCTTCACAGAGAGACAGTGACTCAGAGTCTTAACTTGGCAGCTGGAGGGACAGAGGCCGAGAGTGGCCACCTGACTGCACAGGTACAAATCTGTGTGTGCAGCCTATTTTTCAGAGGCCAGTGACGCCAGCGCCAGCTTCTTTCCCAGACTCCATCTACAGAGCAATCTCAATCCATGTCACAAGGGCTAGAGGAGCCAGCCAGCTTCGAGGATGACAGGAATCCATCAGACTCTCCCAGACACGAATGCCATTCCAAAGAGGGGTGCTGGGATTTAGAGAGATACGATAGTGGAAGTCGGCAAGAAAACGCATTGCTGCACAAAGGACCACATTCTATAGGCTGAGGCGGCCTTAGAGCAGAGGAGAGGCAGGGAAGCCACATTTGTCCACAGGAACTGTTTGTTCTGGGAACACGTGCCTGTGGTGAACCCTTGAGGACAGGAGGACAGTGCTCTCCGCTGCATGGCACGCCCGGCCCACAGGATACGCAGACAAGTGCTCTTGGATGCAGTGCAAGCCTTTCTGGCTTTAGAGTTGGTCCTCTTTCCCACAGAGCCGTATCTGGGACCCTGAATGTATGCCTTCACCTGCAGATAGTCTCTGAACCTAAGTCCTAAGGGTTCCTGCTGAGTAAGCGTAGCTACAATAAAGTGTAATGTGTGTAATAGGCTCAGTAAGAGATGAGCTAGAACAGTAAACAGACCAAATGGGATACTATATTATTAACGATTATTTTAAAACTCGAGACTTGCTCATTTCTGTAAGTTTCCATTCAGTAGTTTAGGGTGGCAGTTGACCATAGGTGATTGAAATTGGGAAAGTGGAACTTGGGAACAGAGAGGCCCATTCTACCATGAAGAGCAAAGATAAGTGAGAAACAGGAAAACAGTGGTGCTGGCGTGCTAAGCCACCGAATGCTCTGCTTACCCTTTACTGCCCTCTCAGAGGCACTGGCTGGGCTCTCGGGAGCCTGGTGAACGTTCCAAGGGAAAACGTGTGTGGGGTAGCTGCAGTCACCCTGATCCTCTGGCCACCGAGCCCTTGGTTTCCACGTGTGGTGCAGCATCACCTTCCACGTTCTCTTCAGTGCGGCCTGTGCTGGAAATGGTGCTTTCCACGTTCTCTTCAGTGCGGCCTGTGCTGGAAATGGTGCTTTCCACGTTCTCTTCAGTGCGGCCTGTGCTGGAAATGGGTGGAGGGTTAGCAAGCATCTGAGAATGCGCTGGGTTGTGGGTTTCACTTAGTGAGTTTCTCCAGCAGGTACCAAGCTGGACAGCAGAGGGAGTTTCCTCCTGGGCTTGGAGGACCTCTTGGAGGGAGGACCGCTCAGCCTTTGCTCCCTGTTCACTGGGAGGGACAGAGATGACATTAGGATTCCTATCTAGGACCTGGCTTCTCAACCACAAGCTGTCAACACTTCCCTCAGTGGCCCCAAGGAGCTTAACATTTTATATTTAATCTCAAGAGAAAGAGAGAGAGAGAGGAAGAAAAAGAGAGAAAGAAAGAGGAAGGGAATTGCAGAGGTACAGCCATAAATTACAACCTTCTCCTGTGAGTTTCGTGTTCTGTTTGTTTTTAACTCTGAAAACTCGCTCATTATCACAGAGAGCTGGGTGTCAATGGACTCTAAGGTTCACTGGAGTGTAATTCCCTTTAATTTATTCTTTAGTTAACAGTTTTCACTTGAAAGATTTTCTCTGCATTGGGTAAATTTTCATATATTTCTTTTAATCCGACGTGAGATTACCTGCCCCTGCTCTGTCTTTCCACAAACAGAAGGGATGTCTGCGGGAGGGACTCTGCCACAGGAGAGTGGAGAGGAGAGGACACACGTCCTCCCCTCCCCTCCTCGTTTCTTTCTCTCCTCCAGGCTATGCTCCCGCACTTTCCTCCGTGTTTATATTTTCTAAGCTGTGTGTTCTTAGAGGTAGGGAGACAGCAGTGAATCCTGGGTGGAAGAGCCACTCCTGCTTGAGGGGTGTTGCTCACACAGGCATGCACACAGAACGCCAGTCTGCAGCGGGACATGCTGAGTCCTGCAAGAAAGCCCTGTGACCATTCCCTACGATTCAGAAGCCCATGCACTGGCCATGTAGATGTCAAATTAATATGCCTAATTCAAAACTCAAACTCTGAAGCCATAATTAGGCAAGTTAATTGCATTCTTAGGCTGAAATTTGCCAGTTGATTAAAGGGATCTTAGAGAATGATCCTGAGGATTAGACAGAGAATTGTCTGTCATTGTGATAATAGATAGATTAATTTATCTATCCTTATTTAGGCTAAAACATGGACTTGTGACAAAGACAGTCACAGATATAATGACCCAAAATGGAATAAATGACCCTTGGGATTTGCTAAGCGTTCCTCTGGCTGGTGTAATTAGGGGGATGTATATGGCAGCAATAGAGAACATTTAAAAGCTTGTATCAGCACACTGCATGGTATGTGTCATACAGAGCTCACTAGTCATGAGCCAAACCAGAGACAGCCTGAGAATGGAGCCACAGTGCTGAGTCAAAGCACACGCTCCACTTTCTTAGGTTCACTCAACGTTGGGACGCTGTGCTGGAGAGCAGCATGAGTTCATTGGTCCCACTTTCAGCCTGTTGTGGAGGACTGCCACTGAGCAAAGAAACTTCTTTCTTGAAAAAATTTCAGTGGGGCCTATAGTGCCCCAGCTTCAAATTTCTTTTCTATAGAATGTTTCCTGTATATCTTACAAATATTGAAGCAAAAGATAAGTGTGACTTGCCAGAATAAAGGAGCCCTGTTGTGTTTCATGGTGCTCCAAAATCAGGCCCCTTAAAATTTAAAAATGTAAATATCAGTGAATGTGTCGATGTTGCTGAAAGCTTTTGTAGATAGACTTTAGCCACTAATAAAATAAGTAGTTTCTTTCCTGTTTTGATTTTTATCTTCTGTTAAAACTCTATCAACTATGTTACCTCTAATCTTCTGGACCCAGGAAAACCAAGCTGTGACACAGAAAGCCTCCTTTTGGCAATCAGTCTTAGCTGATCTTTCAGAGGGTCACTGGCCAAAGGAATTATTGCAAAGCCCGAAACATGCCACCCACCAGAGTGAGTAGGAGCTTTGGGCCCTTTCATCTGTGAATAA